TTTTTTTTTCTTCCCCGAGGAGGTAGCGGGGCAGGTGACAGGCGCGCCTTGGAGGAGACTCCGAAAAGGTGTCGCCGACAGGGAGCCTCCTAGGACCCTTTAGACGGAGACTTGGTGAGAAAAAGCCACGTCTGAGAGTTGGAGACGAGCGCGCTTCCGAGAAAACGGGAAAGAGGGCCGATCGCTTCGCAGGAGCCGAATGGTGAAGTCTGCTGGTGAGATCTGCCCGGCTCTTCCCACGCCTTGTCCCCAAGGGCTGCAGGTTTAGGAAAAGGCTCCATTCCAATAGGGGCCCCGCAGATGTACACGGACGGCTGTCCCGCCCAGAGGCGAGGGCTCCGCACGACCGTCCCCAGCCTCTGCCGGTGGCCCGGGTCCCCAGCACGCTCCGCCGCCGGGGCAGTGTCCCCGTGGCCCCGCTCACCTCACAATCCTCTTCGTACTTGACATTGTCGGTTATCTTCCACAACATGGCGTCCGGCGTCCCCCAAAACAATCTCCAGTTAAATCCAGGCTCCCCCCACCCCCCGAGCGGTAAATCCACAATCGGGGTCACGGTGGCCAGGCGTCTACCGCCGCCCCCGCCACGCGCGGGCCTCGCTGTCCGGGTCACTGGACGCGCATCGGTGGGTGTGCGCGTAGATGCTACTGCCCCGGGTGTGCGTAGAGACCGCTGCCGTGGACCGGTGAAACCGCGCCCGCGCTGTGTGTCCCGGCAATAGCCGGGGGACCCGAGCGCCTTAATGAGAAGGAAATTATCATAACTCCTCCCCGGGGGCCGGCGCCGCGGTCCTGGCGCCGGGCGGGGCGGCCCCCAGCCAGTCCCAGCCTAGCTCCGCCCCGCGCCCCTGCCGGGCTCCGCGCGGGGCCCCACTTGGCGAACTGGGGCTCAGACCTGCAGGGCCTGGGTACCCGGACGCCATCCTTAGCCAGTCCACACCTGAGATGGCAGAGCTGAGAACCGAGATTTCCCCCCAACATTACAGCTTTCATCTCAAGAACCTTCCTCCATCCTCCAAAAAGATGGATGTCACCTGGGGGTGGAGACTCCGCGTTTGGGGTTGTCTCCACTCCTAGGGTTCCCTCACCGGTCCCACCCCACCAGCCGGGACGGAAACTTAAGGATTGGGCTGGGAAGCAGATATACGGAAGCGTCGCCCATCCTCTCGTCCTGGGCTCTTTCTGCCCATCTGAGGAGAGGGAAGGCCCTGTGACAGTCTCCAGCTCCGAGGAGGCAACACACAGTGATACCCACCCAGAGGTCGGAACTGTGGTGCGCCACCGCTGTTGCCTGAAGGTGCAGGTCCCCCGCTGGCCACGGCCGGAGGGGACCCAGGCACCCCCGCGCCCAGGCCCAACCCTGCAACGATGCCCGGCCCTGAGGAGTGCTGGTTCCGCAGCTGGCTCCTCTGGACCACCTAGACGCCTCAACTGGCCCTAGAAAAGGTTTGAGGCAGATTAAAACTCCTGCCACAGGTAGGGTGGGGAAAGGGGGTGCTGGGAAGGGGGAACCTAAGGAGAGGCCACCCTTGGAGAGGCGGGCACCTCAGCCCACAGGAGGTGGAGTAAAGCTTCCTTCCACAGAAGGCTGCCCGCCCCCATTTGCCACTCAAACTTAAAAGCAACATTCAATGTTAATTTTTTTTAATTCAAAGAAACGAAATTCATTGGCTCCAATTATTATAATTGATTGTTTCGTTCCAAGGGGAAAGTCGCTAATTTTGTTGGGCTGTCTCAACAGGTTGCCAGGACTGGCTTCAAACGTTCTGAGCGAATTAGAGGAAACGGTGATTTCGATTTGATTCCCAATTCATTTACACAATCCTTGATACCCATCAGCCCAGTGACCCCGACCAGGGGCAGATATGCCTCCCCAACCACGAAATAATGTCATCTACCATCTTCCTGCTCCTCCTTTTGGGGTAGTGTGAACATTTCTTTAGACCTGATAGGCCTAAAATAAAACAACTAAAATTAAAATAGATGGCTTCCAAGCAAAGCGTCCCTGCTCGCCTTAGAGAGCAGCCACATCCACGAAGACTTTCCGAGCAGATGCACTAACAAACCCTGAAAGTTGGAACCGCGGGGGCTTTCCAGGTGTCCCTGCCCAGCTTCGCTAAGTGCCAAGGGCAGTGGGTTTAAAAGGCACGCCATCCTGACACCCTGCTTCCAAACAGAGGCCTGGGAATGAAGGAGCCGCAGAACTGCGCTTCTGGTATTCCCGGGTGATGGGTGTGGGGGACTCCTGCTACCCCTCTGGATTCGGTGCCGCGGGCACACTGGTGCCCAGGGCTGGGGAAAGCTCGTCCCAGGTTCTTGAGACGGTGGCTGCGACGCCTCCTTCGGTCACCCTAGACCTCCTGGCCGGTGTCGCCCGGCTTTCTTCTTTCAACCTTGGGTTTCCCTCCAAGACAAGACCTGGGCGCAGCTGGCAAAAGTTGTCAGGTCGGCGCCTTCAACTTTACCCCGGGCCAGGAGTGAGCGGGATGGCGCTCACCCCACCCCAGCTAGCCCTCGCGGTTTCTCCTTCCCACCTCAACGCTTGCCCCAGCGGCCCAAGGACCGGGAGTCGTTGGTACCCGGGAGTGTTGTGCATAGGCTAGGGTGCTGACTCCCAGGAGGGGTGCGTGCGGCCTCTTGGCAGCCTCAAGGGCTTGGGAACTTGGGAACCGTTTGGCGAGGCCATTCATTAGCTCCTGAGCGAGGGCGCAGCGCTCAAAGGCGAGAACGACTTCTCTAGATCATAGCGACTTGGGGGGACCCTGCTTCCCACCCAACCAGGCTTTGGGGCACCCTGTCCCGGCGTCGGAAGCCTCAGCCTTCTCGGGCTCAGCTTCCATCCTGTGGCTCCAGCACCCGAGATAGACCCACCTTCCTGGTCCATTGGAAGATGCAACCATGTGCCGCCGCTCCCCCTTAAGCCAGCGCCCGGGATGCTCTCTTTGCATCCGCGAAGCGCACCCCACCCCCTACACACCGTGGAAGTCGCTCTAAAGATGCGCTCCAAGCAGAAGGTGGAAGGCTGTCAGGGGCTCCGCTCTGTCGCCACCTAGGGAGCCTGCGGTCCATCACACTGCAGCCTCAGCCTCCGGATGGACCAAGAAACAGGACTGGGGGCGACCAGATATGTGCTAGCCCACCGACGCCCCGAATGTGAGCCACTCCGGGAGAGGCACGCGGGGTGCCTCTGGCACGGCAACAAGGCTTGGGGGCCCCAGCCTTCTGCTCCAGCCCCCTCAGGCCGAAGATGACAGCTTGGGGTATAATATAGGTTGGACTGATTGCTGACCAAGATTCTTTTTCTGGCCCTAGGGAAGGGGCTCCTGGAGCAGGTGGAGGACCCCGAGCGATTTCGAAAGCGCCACGCCACGTGCCTGGCTTGTGTCCCGCCCCTCAGGACACTGAGAACTGGGGGAAGGACCTCATTCAACTACCAGCACACGAGGGTCTGGTCAGGGCCCCAGAAACTGGTTCCTGAAGCAGATCTCCTCGGAGGGTGCCCATCCACACGCCGCACCCTCCCCGGTCGTGGCCTGGACACACACTGAACGTCGGACGTTAGAGTTCCGGGATGGGCTGGCGAACTGGCTCAGTGGGTAAAAGCGCTTGCTACCAAGCCTGACAACGTGAGTTTGATCTCCATGACCCGCATAGTGGGCAAAAATCGACTCCTGAAAGTTGTCCTCTGACAACCATTTGCAGGCTGCGGTATACATACAGTAAATAAATAAATAAACAAACAAACAAACAAATAAATAAATAAATAAATAAAATTCCCAGAAGCATCTAAAGCCCAGGCGTGCTGCAGGTATCAACCCCTCACCACCTCCAAAGTAATTACAAACCTTGATTTTAAAGTCCCCAGCAAAATTAACAGCATGCTGAGCCGCCGCACACCAACAGATGCCTGGGGTCTCAGCCCCACTCTACTAAAGTCCAACTCCAGGCCCAAAGAGGCTTCTCCGCCTTGGGCTCTTCCCCTGGAATAACTCTTCACAAACAAGCAAATCGAGTATTCGGAGCTGTGGAACCTTGAGTTTTACCAAGCTTCCAGGGACCCAATTTGCTGTGTCAAATCTGGGACCCGTACTGATCCGCCCTGCGCCGGGTCCACTCGGCCTTGACCCTCTCCAGGTCTTTCTGACAGCGAAGGCGAATTTGGAGTTGTCCAACTCCCTTCAAAAACAAAGCCCCGAAGAAACCAAGGCCTCTTTACCGAGACACGCCCGACTCTGCCCTGCCCTGCCCCCGGGGACCCTCAAACGCTTGGACCCCCCAAGGCAGACTCGGGCGGGGTGCTTGTCACCTCTCAGCATCCCAGGGGCCATCCGCAGGCTGGAAGACCCGTATACCTGGAGGCCTTTTTGGGTCTAGGTCACCCTACACCTCCAGGCCAGCTGAGCCCGGGGGGATGGGGGGTGTTAAGTTGCCCCAGGCCCACGGTGGCCAGGGGGTGGCCAGGCGCTGGGCGTTGCACACTAGTCCATCTGCCCAGTCCTGGGAGAGAAAGGTGGCCCCGACAGCGCGCAGGGGCCACCCTGCACCCGACAGTCGCTTATCCAGCCCGCGGTCCTCGGACCTTCTCTGTGTCCAGCCAGTGTCCGGAGTCGCAGCTGCCCACCACCCAGACATCGCCTCTCACCCTTAGAAACTGGAAACTCATGACTCCTCGACTGTCCGTGAGCTGCCGTGTAAGGCGTAGAAATGCTGCGGGAAAAGAGCTCCCCAAGGGCCGAGGCGTGTGCCTAAAACTCGCTCCGAGCGTTTATTTCTTCAAGGCAAAAGGGAAGGGGGTGGGGGAGAGATTCCCATCGAAAGGCAGCTATCCCTATCCGGATTGGAAGACTTACCTGAAGGGGCCTCCTCCCTCTTCCCTGTCCCTCCTCCCCCTCGGAAGCTGTGTCTTCCCTGTTGTTTTTAATGATGATTACTTATGAATGTGGACCTTCCAATAATTCTAAATGGACTGTATGTCTTCCTGGAAAAAAAATACTTTAAAAAATTATTTTAGTTTCCAAGGCCCAAACTATTGATATTTCCATGAATTCTTGGCCGCTTTTCTATTTTTGATCTGACTTCAGGAAGCTCCCAGTTTCTCAGGTCTAGCTACAATTAAATTGGGGGGCATGAGTTTACCCCGGTGACATGCAAGTGGGTGAGGCCAGCTGCCTTTAAGTGCACCTTGACCATCACAATCTATTTGCTGCACCAGAACAGGCCACATACACAGATTTGGGGGAAGACAAATTGAAATGTAAATTATAGAAATGACTCTGACAAGGTGGTTCAAGCTTATAACCCCAGCACCAGGAAGGCTGAGACAAGAGAATCCAAAGTATGAGGCCAGCCTGGGTTACAATAGCGAGTTCCAGGCCTGGACTCTAGTGTGAGACCCTATATCCAAAGAACAAAACAGATTGGGCTGGAGAGATGGCTCAGCAGTTCAGATGGTCTTCTAGAGGTCCTGAGTTCTGTTCCTAGCACCCACAGGGTGGCAAACAATTGTTAGTAACTCTAGCTCCAGGGGGTCTGACGCTGAGTCTTCTGACCCCAGAAGTGCACATGTGGTGCACTTATATACAAGCAGGCAGAGCACTTATATACATTAAAAAGAAAAAAAAAATGTAGGGGCCTGGAGAGATGGCTCAGCAGTTAAGAGCACTGGCTGTTCTTGCAAAGGACCAGGTTCATTTCCCAGCACCCATATGGTG